CCATCCTCCAGGCCTTAGGTTATTTCATCTCTCCTCTTCCATGATGTTCCCTGAGACAGGGGAAGTTGGTTATACAAAAGTTCAGGTCAAGCACTCAAGCGCCATTCATTCTCCCAGTCAAGGGTTCCTCAGGCACGAGTGACACAGAGTGGCTTCGTGACTGGATGGCGACTGTTCTGCCACTTAGGAAAGATCTAGTTCTGCCTAGGGTCATCTTCTTCATCTCCTGACCCTAGAGGTTTGTCAGGGGACACCCCCTTCCTGCAGCTTGCACAGCAATGGTCCTGTGTGATGGGGGTGGGCACAGACTTAGCTGATCCCCAGGATCATGTGCTGTGGTTCCTCAGGTAGCTTAAAATGGGGTTCTGGAAGGAAAGACAAAGGTCTCAGCTTCCAGGAAAAGCAGGGAGCAGGTGTGGCCAGGCCTCTCAGGACTGTGTGTGTTTAGTTCCAGGTTCTAGCTTCTAGATCATTAATTCACTCATTTTTTTTTTATTATTTATTCCTTTCTTCCTCCATCATAAAAGTATCGAGTCCTGGCTACACTGTTTCCCGTGCAGGTTGCAGGCTCCAGTGGGAGGAAGCAGAGTCCTCTCTCTTATCCTCCAGTAGGCTGGCTCGGGCACAGGAGAAACTGGATTTCTGGTCCAGTGGGGGCTGTGGGTTAGCGGACTGAGTTGAGTCAGGTGCTTGGGCTCTAGGACCAAACTTGATTTCTTTCCCTCTGTGGACCACACATCTCTTCAAGCTGCCCGTGCCCGAGATTAAAGTTTCCAATCCCTCAACTTCTCTTTGGCCCAGAGAACCTGATAAAGCTCCTAGGGTGGAGAAATTGGAGCTGCCAGATGTAGGAGGGGTGTCAGGTGACACTGGCTCAGTTTCCAGCAGCCTTTTGGGTCTGGGTCCCTGGAGTCATGGAAGTCATTTAACCCCCACTGCTACAATCACACACATTTCTGTTGTTGCTGCTCCCTCCCTGCCCCTCATCTCCTCACCTCTCCTTCAGGCAGGTCTGCCCTTGCCCTGTGCAGCTCGCTGCTCCCTTACCTTTCCCACACGAATGGCTGCTTGTCCTGGTCCCTTCTCACTAACACCTAGATGCAGACCCTCCTTCCCAAGCCATAGTGAAGGACACAGAAATCAGTAGAAACAGCTACTCCCCTGAGGGTCCGTCATGTGCCAGGTTCCCCCACTGGGTAGGAGTTCCCGCTGTGTTGAGTAGGGCTCTTGATTTCTGCAGTGGTGATGTTTGGAATAAGACAAGCGGAGAAAAACTCAGAGATTGCACCACCCAAAGTCTCTGGGATTGTTCAGTTTTGTCCCCTTCAACCCTGGCTGGGCTCCTCATGGTTTCCCTGGAGCTGACCTGGGCCTTCTTTCCCTTTATATTCTTTTTTTTTTTTTATTTTTTTTGACCACTCAGACACGGATTTAATAATTGTAGAAATCCAAAGAATAAGCATCAAATCTCGAAGTCAGAGTGAACTCTTGCCTGTGGGTTGGCTAGACTAGGTTCAGCCACGGAGCTGCCTCAACCAGCCAGGGAACTATGTCCAGGCTGACTCCTGTTTTCATGATGTCATGTATGTAGTATATACTTTTTCTCAATAAAGCATTTGTACCAATGGCTCTGGAGCTTGGAGGAAGACTAAAGGAATGTGTAGTGATTCTGAGTAAGGTGTGGACCTACACAGCAGAGCTGTCTGGAGGAGGAGAAGACAAAGGCCTTTCTTCCAGTGTCAGGCCTGTCCAGATGGGCCACTAGGGCTCCACTCTGAACTGACGGGTACTTGGTCCCTAGGGGAGAGTGAGAAACTTGCAATCAGGAGTTTTTAGCAAATAAGCACCAGACACAGTTGTTCCTGATCCCTTCATGCAGCTGCTGTGAAGACAAGGAGAAGGGGGCAAAAATGCTTTCTGTAGCAGCAGGAAGGTGGGCGGTGCTGCCCTGGTTTGTGCTAATGCTTAGATATGTGTATGTACCACTATGCAGCACCACCATGTGACTGTTTCCCTTTGGCTCCCACTTCCCTACTCCTTCCCTGCTGTTACAGGCCCAGAATCAACTCTAAACCTGCCTCTTTGAAATCAAATGCCTCTGAGGTATTTCATCACACCAAGTCCTGGTGGTGGAGCTGTCCCGGTGCAGCTTTTGTAGAGATCTGCCTCTGTGCTTCCAGGCCATTGGGGAGTTAATGCTCTAAACTGAGGCAGGGAGACTGGCCTGCTGCCATTTTGTGGAAGCCATTTAAGCTGAGGCAAAATTCCACAGGATCTTCCCAGGACCCTGATAGTAGGAGATCTATTTGCGGGTGGCATGACTTGTCTATTATGAAAGACTCACTTCGGCTGAGACGATTCTGGTGGGAGTCCATTCTCTTGGGTATTATATAAAGGAGGCCAAATGACATCAAGGGAAAGGCAGAAAACTGGAGTGAGAGTTGAGTTCTGCTTTAGACTAGCTAGAATACTGTGGGCAAGTCATGGACAGCCTCTCGTGCTCTGCCTCAAGTGCTACACTGGACCTATGGCAAAGAAGTCATCTCCACAGCCAGGCATTTTGTATGTTACTAAAATGCTCACATGTCTGAGATCTTTAAGGAAACATTTTACTCCACCCTTCCAGCTTAGGTTAGATTTACCCAAGTATTCCTAGTACCTAGTAACACACTGTCCTCCAATTTGTCCTGGTTACCCGGAGAGGAATGAAAGGGTTTGTGACATACAAAAGTATAAATGTAGTGACAGCTGGCCATTTAGTAGAAAGGAACCTTGCCTTACACAGCCTTGTGTAATTAGAAAAGCCTATGTCTTCTCCCTCCCC